AATCTCTTGGCACAAACAGCACGAAGTGCACACGCGCGCGTCGTCGCGCGCGCGTGCCCACATCCTTCGAAAACACATGGTCGAATAACATGTAACAGCACATGGTTTCGCAACACTGATTTTCACAAACAAATGTGCGCGCGCTCTTGCGACTTCTTGAACAAACATTTTTTAACAACCGAAAACCTGTTTTTCCCAACCATCCTGTGGTGTTGGGTCCTCGTTTTGAAAAGACGTCGCCCCGGGTTCCTTCCTCCTCCTCCTCCTTCCTCCTCCTCCTCCCCTTCCTCCCCCTCCTTCCCCTCCCACACCCATTCTGGCACACCCCTCACACGCTTCGTGGCCCCATAGGGAGCTCCACCGAAGGCCCCAGTGGCTGCGCCCGCATGCGGTTCCACCCCCCATTCTGGCACACCCCTCACACGTTTCGTGGCCCCATAGGGAGCTCCACCGAAGGCCCCAGTGGCTGCGCCCGCATGCGGTTCCACCCCCCATTCTGGCACACCCCTCACACGTTTCGTGGCCCCATAGGGAGCTCCACCGAAGGCCCCAGTGGCTGCGCCCGCATGCGGTTCCACCCCCCATTCTGGCACACCCCTCACACGTTTCGTGGCCCCATAGGGAGCTCCACCGAAGGCCCCAGTGGCTGCGCCCGCATGCGGTTGGCACACCCCTCACACGTTTCGTGGCCCCATAGGGAGCTCCACCGAAGGCCCCAGTGGCTGCGCCCGCATGCGGTTCCACCCCCCATTCTGGCACACCCCTCACACGTTTCGTGGCCCCATAGGGAGCTCCACCGAAGGCCCCAGTGGCTGCGCCCGCATGCGGTTCCACCCCCATTCTGGCACACCCCTCACACGTTTCGTGGCCCCATAGGGAGCTCCACCGAAGGCCCCAGTGGCTGCGCCCGCATGCGGTTCCACCCCCCATTCTGGCACACCCCTCACACGTTTCGTGGCCCCATAGGGAGCTCCACCGAAGGCCCCAGTGGCTGCGCCCGCATGCGGTTCCACCCCCCATTCTGGCACACCCCTCACACGTTTCGTGGCCCCATAGGGAGCTCCACCGAAGGCCCCAGTGGCTGCGCCCGCATGCGGTTCCACCCCCCATTCTGGCACACCCCTCACACGTTTCGTGGCCCCATAGGGAGCTCCACCGAACGCTCCAGTGGCTGCGCTCGCATGCGGTTCCACCTCCCATTTCGGCACCTCACACGCTTCGTGGGTGGCTCCATGGGGAGCTCCACCGAACGCCCCAGTGGCTGCGCTCGCATGTGGTTCCCCCCCCATTTCGGCACACCCCTCACACGGTTCGTGGCCCCATAGGGAGCTCCACCGAAGGCCCCAGTGGCTGCGCTCGCATGCGGTTCCACTCCCTTTTTTCGGCACGCGCTTCACACGTCTCGTCGCTCGCATGCGGTTCCGCACCCCATTTCGGCACACCCCTCACACGCTTCGTGGCTCCATAGGGAGCTCCACCGAAGGCCCCAGTGGCTGCGCTGGCATGCGGTTCCACACCCCATTCTGGCACACCCCTCACACGCTTCGTGGCTCCATAGCGGGCTCCACCAAAGGTCCCGGTGGCACTGCCCGCTTGCGTCCGCCACCACCCAGCACAGCCCTTGTTCCCTGCGGCTTCGTAGCCCTATAGGGAGCTCCACCAAAGGTCTCAGCGGCACCGCCCGCATGCGTCCGCCACCACCCTGCGCAGCCCTTGCTCCCTGCCTGCGTTTCACCCACCCAGTACAGCGTTTCGTGGCCCCATAGGGAGCTCCACCAAAGGTCCCAGTGGCACCGCTCGCATGCGTCCGCCACCACGCAGCACAGCCCTTGCTGACCGCGTCTCACCCACCCAGTACAACGTTTCGTGGCCCCATAGGGAGCTCCACCGAAGGTCCCAGTGGCACCGCCCGCATGCGTCCGCCACCACCCAGCACAATTGCGGCATTCACAACTGCATATGGTTGGGTCCTTCGCCAAGCTAATTCTCCAGAAAGTGTTACCCAGCGGGCTTCGCGCGCGCATGGCGAAACCGTTCGAACGCATTTTCGCGCGTGCTGTCGCGAATCCCTTTGCAAGCAATGGGACGACATGCGCGCGCGTCGTCGCACGCGCATGCCGGAATCAGTCAAAAACCTGCGCTTCCGTGAGGGTTCCCCAATCGAGTCCCTAAAACATGTGGAGAATGGTTTCGCAACATCAGTTTCCAACAAAAAAAACGCTCGCGACCCTCTGATTTCTTCAGAAAGCCGTGAATGTGTTCAACCTGTTACGTTGAATTCTGCCAAACGCGCCAGTCGCGCCGCATGTCGAAATCATTCGAAACGGTCCGTGTCAAGTAATACGGTGCGGGCCACTCTCGTGCGTCGGCCGCGCGCGCACGTCGAACTCTTTCCAAAACCTTCACCGCCGACGCGAGGACGCCGTCATCGTCGCTGGCGTGATCAGCATCAGCCCCGTCACTGGCCGTGCCGTCGCCGCTGTCACCATCGTCACCAGTACTGCTACCATCATCATCGTGTCTACCGTTGTCGACGTTGCCATGATACCGCGCCCACCTAAGTCGCCGACTCGCACTGAAGTGCCCGCTGGGACGTGCCCAGAGGTCAGCGCCACCGCGGCCGCGCCGGTCGCGCAAAACTAGCTAGCCGCTGCGCGCTCGAGCGTGTGCGGGCTAGCGCGGCCGCAGAGATGCACCAGTCAGCAGCAAGCACTCATCGCAATTGCCGCCGCCTGGGTTTTGTAAACCAAGTAACGGGGGGGTTGGTGGGATGTTTGCGCGAGCAGTGGAGTTGACAACTCACTGCGAACAGAAACTATCGCACCACATCGATCGCACCACAATATCAACCGATCTGGCGTGTGAGCTTCAAAGGCCCCAAGCTACAACATACAGCCTGAGCTTCAGCTCTGCTGGGGGGGGGCCGGGGGCGCTCTGCAGAGGTAGGGGGGGTCCTGCTCCGCTTGTGCTCCGCTTTCTGGGCGGGGCTGGCACATGTACAAATCCACCAAATTCCCACCCCGGGATCCAGAGAGCCCAAGATGGCCGCAGGATATTTCCCATATGGCTCACGATACACCCAAGATGGCCCAGGATGCCCTCCAAGAAAGGCCCGAAAATATTCAAACAATTGATGTTCTTTGTGCTTTTGAAAGGTTTGGGCGCTTCATTATTTTCGGCCTTCCGACGGCCCTAGAGGCCTTCAAGATCGCCCCAGAGGCCTCTAAGATGGCCGTATGACGGCCCCAAGAGGCTCCCAAGACGGCCCCAAGAGGGTGCCAAGACGGCCCAATAGGCCCCGAAGACGGCCAAGATAGCCTCCGAGACGGCCCTCAAGCGCCCCCAGAGTGCTCCCAGACGACATAGCGAGGAGAGTGCTCCCAGACTGCACAGCGAGGCGCCCAAGACAGCTTCCGGCGGCGTTCGACGGGCCAGGAACGCCCTAAGACAAATAAAAAGGCTTCCAAGAAGCCCCCAGGAGGCTCAAAGACCCCCTCAAGAGGCCTCCTCCTACGACGGCCCCGAGAGGGCCTCAAGACAACCCCATAGGCCTCCTAACGAGCCCAAGCATCGGGAGCGCCCCGGATCGGCAGCACTGGCCGGAGGCCACTACAACATATAACTGTATACATCATATTTAGATGTATACACACATGTATTACATATGTATGAGTATATGTATGAGGCACAGCATCGATTACACAACACATATAGCACAACATAATTTGCACAATATTGAATGCACCGACATATAGCACCGCATTGATTTCACCACCTACATTGAACTACACATATGTTGCATCACTTCGATTGCACCACGTCGATTGCACTACTTTGATTGCACTCGGTTGCACTGCATAAATTGCGCACCACATACACTGCACCACATAGAGTTCACCACATACATTGCACCACACCACATTGCACAACAAATATTGCACAACGTAGGATGCAATACATAGCTGGCCCAACATATGTATATATATATATGTATATATGTATATGTATATGTATATATAGCACAAGTTGGTTGCAAAACATGATTTGCACAACATAGAGTACACCAAACCTATTGCACTACATAGATTGCTCCGCATACATCGCACACTATATGTTGCCAAAAACACGCTGATTGGGATCCACGATGGCTAACATTGAGATACTGCTATGCAGTAGTACATGATGATAATGAAATGCTTGAGAAAATGTGGATCGGTAGCCAGGTGTGGATTTGTATATGTATATATATATACACAGACATGTACGCGAGCCAATCGAAACGACTATTTGGACGTTGCGATTGCACATGCCCCAAGATCGCTGCGATTGGACGTTGTAGATACCATTACACTGCAAGCAACACTGTTGAGCAGCTCGTGTGTTCGATTGATCGTTCTACTGTTAGATCGGCAACATGCCGGAGGATAATGAACATATCGCCAACATGGTAGGAAGCAATCGCGAACCGGGAACCGCGCCCTCCGACCCCCCCCCAAAAAAAACAAGTATTGTCACCCGAAGGGTGGTTTTATGAGCCCGAGTCCATGCAGCTCTGTCGGTCTGTCTCCCTGTCTGCCTATGTCTCTCTCTCTCTCTCTTCCTACCTCTTTCTCTCTCTCTCTCTCTCTCTCCTCGCCTTCAGTGTCTAAGCCTAGTGAGGCCAGAAGGCGGCTGCAGGGTCTGAACTGGTTGGGGCCCCAGACCATCTGTCAGAAAGGGAGGTGAAGCCAAATCCGATCAAAATCAATCCCCGGACCTTCACCCCGGACTCGTTCTTGACTGTGCTGGGGCTCGAAAGACGGGCTCTGAGAGGCCGAGACAGGCAGCAAATCTTCCCGAATCAAGCGCCTCGAACCTGCCCGCCTTTCCTGCTGGCCGGAGCCAGTGCTGGGCCACCTCGGGCCCCCAGGCGGCTCCGAGCGAGACCGGACCTGACGAAGCAACCTCCTCAGCATCACAGAAATATGGAAAGGAGCACAAAGAGAAGGTGAGCACGCGACCTTTTCGACAAGCTTGTCCACAAACCCCTTCTCCTTGGGCACGTCCACTGCCTGGACCGCGGAGAACCCTTCCGTTGCGAATGCAATCACCTTGTCTTTATCTTTGTCGTGGCCATGGCCATCAGGAGATTCCATGACTTTTCTGTACATCTTCCCTTTTCGGAAGAGCACTATTTCTGGAAGCTGCTCGACCTTGAAGCGGTCGAACAGCTCCTTGTTGCCCGGCGTAAGCTCCACCTCGACGGCAGGGCAGTGAGGACAGAAGCCGAGCATGAATGCATCACATGCAGCCGGACTTCGGACAAAATAGTATGCTTCAGACACATGAGGCCCTCCGCCGGCCAGAACACACAGAACACCCAAAGGCACCCCCCCCGAACCAACCTCGATCTTATACCTCGGTCCGACCGTAGGACAGAATCGAGATCACGGAGACAAAGCGCTGCGAAATGAGATCGCGCACGCAAACCCGAAGCACATGTCTGGTGCAGTCAACCCGAACAATAAGGACGCACGGTAAGGATGCAAGAGCCTTGGAAGGCCACATCGACACTTTGCGAGCGGGGCGCGGCCAACGAATGCTGGTTGACTGTAGACCACAACCGGCATCATAAGATCAAGAAGACCAAGCGTTGCAGAATGAGATCACGCACCCAAACTCGAATCACGCGTCTGGTACGGGACTGTCGAATGAAGCAACTGCTATGCAGTTTAGCGTTGCACAACACCGCGAGCGAGCTGTGCTGCTGATGATGCACTGTCGGAAAAAAAAACACCATTTCAGAGCTCTCCAATCAACCCTGGCCAAACCCAACCCACCACCTGGCCGGACTCCTGGCGAACGCGCAGCGGAAAGTCATACTCCTGGCGAGGAGGGCCCACCTTGCTCTGGACCCAGCAGCTGGCGACCCGATCGTTTCAAAGTAAGCCATGGCTGGGCCGGCGGCTTGTGCGTGGCCCAGAGGGGGGTCCAGGGACGTAATGAAATAAGAAAAGGCGCCATGAAATCTGGAGAAATAGCATGGCCAACGCCATGATATCCCCCCCTAGTCATCACCCCCCTCTTGGCCGCCCCCCACACATCCCATACCCCATTCCAGGAAGAGGAGGGGCCGAGGATGGGAGACTGTCGAAGACTTGTCACGCGCAGGCGTGGAGAAGGAGCGCATCCCGTTTGGGGGCCCCGGTGGCGTACAGATGCACGAGGAGCGCCAATGGAAGACCCGTGGAAGAAGCCATGCGCCAGCCCTTGGCACGGCGCTTTGGTACCACTCTTTGGGCGCCCGAGCTATCCAGGGTAACTCGGGCCCGGGGTGACTCGGGTTCTGATTCCCGAAAAACGAACACGAATTAGCCCTGACCCGAGTTACCTCTGATGATTTGGGGCTCTGGGCGCCCGAATTATCCGGGGTAGCTCGGGTTCGGATTCCCGAAAAAACGAACCCGAATTAGGCCTGACCCGAGTTACCCCTGATGACTCGGGGCTCTGAACTATCGCCACTGAGCTGGGTTTCCGGTCAGGACGCCCGGGCGGAAGAGTGCGCAAGTGGCACCCCTGCGAGCATGATGCTACGCACCAAGGTAAAGCACCCGACTGCGAGGCAGGAAAACAGAGCCCATCACGACTGTGAAGCAGAGGATGAGGAAGAGGAGGATCCACAAGACATGGAGCCCCTTTCGAAACCAAAGTGGGCCCTGCCCGAAAGTGCTGACTGCACGGGGGAAGGGACGAGGAGGAGGGCGCGTGGCGCGTGGCGGGAGGCCGCGCCCTGCGCCTGCGGCCGCGATGCGCACTCAGCGAGACTGGTGGGGCGGACCTAGAGAACGGTCAAGGAGGCTGTCACAACGGTGTCGCCCAGGGGGCACCGGGACCCAGAAGACGTGCCATGGGCGCCCGAACGCCGAGGGATGCAGGGTTCCCCTGCATCTCGCGCGCTCATCCTTCCTGCCGCTTGTCGACTGCAGCCAAAACATCACGAGGCCTGGCTGAATTCTGGGCCTGTCTGCAGCGACAAAGCTCAAGTTCAAAAACGTCAGTGCACCGCCCCCCTCCCTCTCCGGAGGTGTAAAAACACATGCTCTGGTGCAGCTCGGGCCCCCTCCAGATCCAACACTGGGACAAGACGGATCCAAGCTGGCTCAAGACTCGGCGGCGTGCCCGGGGGGAAGTGAGAAGGAAAAGGCTTTCTCAGAAGGCTCGGAAGTCCCACGGCCTTCTGAGAAGCTTCCTGAAAACCTCTCAGAAGGCGCGAGGGCTTCTGCGAAGTTTCGCCGCCTTCTGAGAAGGCCTTCTCCTTCTCACTCCCCCCCTCGTTCGCCGCCGATGAAGATGGCTCCCATAAGGCTCCAGCACTGATGGCACCAGCAGGGGCCAAGACGGCTCCAGCCCGCCCCAAGAAGGCTCGGGATGGCTCCAAGATGGATCCAAGCCTGGTCAAAATGGCCCACAAATGTGGGGAAACCAAATTGGTACCGATACCGCTATCCCCTGGACCTCTCCTGGGGTGCGTTATGACCACGGCTTCGAGGCGAATCCAGCGGTGGCGACGGGGGCCGCCCAGTAGGCCCAAAATGGGGAAAGCGAGGGAAGGGTAGCGGGTTGGATCCAAGCTGGCTCCAAGATGGCTCCAGCACTGATGGCATCCGCAGGGGTCGAAGCGGCGCACGACGGCCTGGCCCTACAGACGGGTGTCAAGACGGTGACCCCAGGGGAGGGCCACGAATCGGCACACACTTTGCGCGTGCAGCTGCAGTGCACAGGGAGGGCGCGCGGCAAGGATGCAGGGGCCTTACAGGGCCATGCTGACGTTTCCCGTGCGGGGCAAGGATGGGCCGAAAGGGGGAAGGACGGGCCGAGGAATGCAAGGATGGGCCGAATGGGGGCAAGGAGGGGCCGAGGATGGCAAGGATGGGCCGAAGAGGGCAAGGATGCCAGGGTAACCTTGCAGAGCTGCTCCTCGCCGCAGTGCGCCCTGACTGTATGCCGTTGTGTTACCCTTCGCGCGCTTCCCAAGTGGTCCCCGAGGGCGGGCCCCCAGGAGGCTCCACGACAGCCCAAGAGAGGCCCCACGGCAGTGCAAGCGGGCCCCGAGGTGGCCCAAGGTGGCCCCAGAGGGCCCCCAAAGCGGCCTCCAAGACAGCCCCTAAAGACTCCCCAGACGGCCAAGAGGGGTCCAAGACGGCACCAACACGGTCCAAAAGGGCCCACGAGGGCCCAAGACGGCCCAAGAGGGTCCCAAAGGGGTTCGGACGGTCCCCCAGGAGCCCGAGACAGCTCCAAAACCGCCCAGGCAGTCCCCATGAAGAGTGTCATCTGTTAGAGGCGAGGCGTGTCGCATGCCATGGGTTTCAGCATCGCCACAGAATGCTGCTCTGGCGCGGTGGCGGAACTTGCAAGAGACAGCTGTACACTTGAGGAAAGCATCCCTGGATCTCGACGGAGGGGGTCGCGAGCGGTCGGAAAGCCCAGAATGAAACTAGTCGGCTCCAACATGGCCCCAGGTAGCTCAAGATGGCCTCCATGATAGCGCCCTTGATGCCACAAGGTGGTCTAAGTTCGTTCAGGACGGCCCAAAGTGCCCAAGATCGCCACACTGTGGCCCTTGTTGGCCACCGAGACTCCCGAGGATGGCCCCGATAAGTCAAAATCATTCTTCAAGGCCAACAATTATCACTGTTCCCGGCCTTCTCGCGGGCTTGGTTTCTGATTAGCTTCTGGGGCCTCGCGATGGCCCTCCTGAGATGCCCCAGGGAAGCTCCAACAGAGACCCAGAGCAAATCCAAAAAGGCCTCCGAAGCCCGCGCGACCACCCCAAGAGCGTCCCCAAATGACCCCCCTAGAGCGGATGTGTGGGCCTCCGACAGGGGGTGCTTGATTAGGGCGCCCCAGTTGTTGCTCGATTGTCCTTAGATCGGCCTGGACCGACGGACAATATGCACGCGTGTAGAAGCAAACCGCATTGGCCTGAGCCGGCGAAATTGGCACACGCCTGCGGCCGAGGCCGACTGGGCCCCCCGACCGCCGAGCCAGCGGGGAGTGGCGCGCGCTGGCGTGAGCAGCCCGACGGGCAGATCGAGCGCGCGCAGAGGACAACCGAGAAGCCGCGCCATGGGCGGAGCAGGTGCGTGGGCCAGCCTGCTGCGGAAGGGACGTCCCGACCTTCGAGCCAGTAAAACAAACGAGAGGAGCTCGTCGTGATTGGAGGGGCCACGCCTGCGCCTGGCGGAAAAGGGGACAGGGCAGAAACCTGCGCAGGGAGGGGGGGCGGCGACCAGCGCGCGCGCGCGGCGGCGACGGCAAACCAGAGAGCCGCGACACCACAGCGCGGCAACCACGACGCGGCGCCGACGACGCGACCGACGGACGCGGCCAACAAAAACCCCGACGCAAAAACCAGACGCGACCACAACGGGCAACCGCGACGGACAGCCACGACGCGGCAACCAACCAGCCACGACTGCGAAAGCGCGCGCGCCGTCTGCAACAGCAAAGCGCAAGGCGCCAGCGCCTGTGACGCGCGCGACCCCGAGGCGCGCCGCGGTCCGCCCCGATGGGATCCCCGCGGCGCGCCTGGACCGAGCGGCGCCCATGGCGATACCACAAGAAGAGCAACGCACGCGCGCGCGCGCACCGCGAGCCGCCGCCGCCGCGCGCGCGCGCGCCCTCCTCGCGGGGCCGCGCGCAGCGAGGATCAAAAAAGGCGCCGCGCGCGCGCAAGCCCTTTTCGTGGGGCCGCGCGCCGCGAGGCGCAGGAAAGCGGGAGGCGGCCCGCGCGCGCGCAGCTCGCCCGCCTCCGCGCGGGCCAAGGGCGCGGGCGTGAAACTTGTGCCTGCGCACAACGCAGCTCCAGTATGCGCGCGCCCTTACGATGGCGTCGTGCGCCTACCACAAGATGGCTCGAGGTCACCACGAAGCCTCCGAAAGATGTTGTACGCAAATCGTTCAAACGCCCAAAGTTCTTCAACTATTGCTGCCTTCTCGGTCTATCGCCTGTGGTCCCTGCCCTGGCTCTGCGGGTGCTTTCGGGTTTGTTTCGAGATCCGCTGGAACCCTGAAATCAGAGTCCTCGTTCTTCGTAGACTCAGCCCTGGCGGCCCGAGGAAGTCCACTTACCACAAGTGGCCACTGCGCCGCCTGGCGGACAGCAGAGCCGCCCTCGAAGTGTGTGATAGTGGATTGCTTCACCACCATCCTGCCAACGCACCCCTGACGTGCCCGAAGTGAATGATAGTGGATTGCTTCACCACCATCTTGCCAACGCACCTCTGACGTGCACAATGTTATGCTTGCTGAGTTATTTCTCACTATATAGATGCATTCATATACATATATAAATATATATATATATATGTGTGTGTGTATATATTTATATGGGTATGTTCGCTCTCTCTCTCTCTCTCTGTCTCGTTCTCTTTTTCTCTCAAACTGTCACTGCCCGCTGGAAGATGCTTCGCAGCAAGGGGCTCCGAGGGTCCCCACAGGACGGCGGATGCCTCCCAAGAGAGACCCAAGGCTTAAGAGCGCCCAGAGAGGGCTCCAAGAGCAGACGTCCTGGGGCCCTGAGGGGCGGCCAGGTGAACCCAAAGAGCTCTCAGAGGCTGTGGCTGCGCAGCCCTTCCCGCCCAGCTCCAGGACGCGTCTGGTGACAACTGTGTTCGAGCCTCGGTGAAGACGGTCCGCTCCACAACAGCTCACGCAACAGATGCATGCGTGCATGCATGCACGAGCACCTGCCGCTACGCAGGCAGAATCTGTACAGTCACGCCCTGCAGTGGCAGCGACGCTTTGGAGTCCCGAAACGGTGCGGTGACAGACCGTGCGGTGACCTCGGAACCCCAAGAGACCTCACCGCGCGGTCCGTCACCGCACTGTCTTGGGACCCAGGAGGCCCCTGTCGCCAAGACGTCCTCGGAGAACGACCCGAGTCCCCAAACCGTGCGGTGACCCCGAATCCCCACCGACTCACCGCACGGTGTGGTCACCACCCCGTTTGGGGACCCCCGAGACGCAAATGAGGGCACCATCCCTTCCGGGGTGGGTCCAGAAGCTTCTGCGATGCTACAAAGAGGGCCCGGGATGCCCTCCAAGAGGGCCCCACGAGAGCCCCGGGAGGCCCACGGAGGCTCCCCCAAAGCCCCAAGAGAGCCCCACGATGGCTCAAGAGCCTCCGAGGGGCCCCAAGGGGGTTGTAGCATGACCACTGGCAGCCTCTCTGCTTCGCTGTATGTCTTTCTACGCTGCGATTCACGGCAGCCAGCATGGGCAGTGTTTCTGGGTGGGCTGACGGCCCACATGGGAGCCCCGAAGTGCAAGCAATGCTACTATTTGGGGGTTGAGAACTCGAATGAAAAAAAAACGTATTCGTCCACACGCGACACCGAACATGAGAAGGACAACTACAGTTTTCGCCACCGCAAGAAATCTGTCATCAGAGCTTGGGGTCCGAACGGTCATTCGCTGTCCCTGGGTGCGTGGCTGCAGTGGGCTTCAGCGGTGCGGATTGTTGTTGTTGGTGGTGTTGTTGGTGCTGGTGTTGGTGCTGCTGCTTATGATGGTGATAGGTGTGTTGCTTTTCTTAGTTGTTAACAATCGTATTGTTAGTACTGCTGCTGTTGGTGTTGCTGCTGTTGTTGGTGTTTTGGTAGTGGCTGTGGTTGTTGCCGTTGTTGGTGTTGGTGCTAGTGTTGCTGCTGCTGGTGCTGTTGTTGGTGTTGTTGCGGTTGCGGTTGTTGTTGGTGTATGTTGTTGGTGGTGCTGTTGCTGTAGTTGTAATTGTAATTGTTGGTGCTGTTGATGCTGCTGGTCGGCAGTTGTTTGTTGGTGTGTTTGCTTGCGTGCTTGCTTGTGCATTTGCTTGTGTAATTGGTTGTCTGTGTGTTTGTGTGTTTGTTTGTTTGTTTGTTTGTGCATTGCTTGTTGTGTGTTGTGTGTTGCTTCTTGCCTGTTGCTTGTTGTCGTCGTCCTGCCCGCGACCCGACCCGCGACCCACCCGCGACCCACCCGCGACCCACCCGCGACCCACCCGCGACCCACCTGCGACCCACCCCGCGACCAACCCGCGGCCCGCCCACGACCCACCCGTGTCCCAGCCCGCGAGCCACCCGAGAGCCACCCGCGGCACGCCCGCCACTCACCCGCGACCCACCCGCGACTCACGCACGACCCACCCGCGACCCACCCAGGACCCCCACCCGCGACCCACCCGCGACCCACCCCGCGACCCACCCGCGACTCGCCTGCGACCCACCCGCGACCCACCCCGCGCCCGCCCCCTCACTCTTTTCCGCAACTGCGGGATGCTACGTAATCCGCCCCGAGATCTTACACCAGGGCACAGGCTCGACCAAAGCCAAACTCAGCTGGAAGAGCCCCCCCCCCGCGGTCAACAGCCGAGTCAACCCGCACTCTGGATGGCATGGGCCGACGAGCAACCCTCGCCCTGCAGAGAGGCGCGAAGGGAGCGCGGCTGCCTCAGCGACGTTGATGTGGACGCCCATGCCCTGCACCTGTGGGCTCCGTCGCCCACCGCGGCGGCGAGCCAGACCGAGCGGGTGGAAGAGCCTCCATTCTCCTCCTGTCCTACTTAAGCACGCGCGTGCCAATTCTCGCAAAAGAACTACTCGCAAATGGCCTGGATCCGCAGATGAGGTTTTACGATCCGTTAGAACGAGGCAAACCTGTGTTCTTCAGACGTTTGCGAGTAGGCACTTTGCGAGTAGTGGCATGCGCTCGCTGACTACTGCATCCAACATCTCGCATAAACCTGGGGGGCAGGTCAGCGACGAAAAGAAACGGGTCTTGCGGGAGATGCCACACCGACCTGACGTGGTGGTTTACGCGGGCCGCCAGCGCGGTACGCTACTTTGGAGACGAGGGCGCTTACGCGCGATTTTACGCGGGAAGTTTACGCGCCAATGTCGGTGAAGAAGACTCCGTGTTTCTGCGTCGCTCCGATGTGTAGGGATACAAAGGATCTCTGCGCTAATAGATATAGCACAGCCTCCCTCCCCTCCTCCTCCTCCTCCTCCTCCTCCTCCTCCTCATCATCATCATCATCATCATCATCATCATCATCATCATCATCATCATCAGCATCATCATCAGCAGCAGCATCAGCAGCAGCAGCAGCCTCCTCCTCCTCCTCCTCCTCATCGTCATCGTCATCATAACTTCCCTATCTCCCTCCCTCCACAACAATTAACAAACTAAGCTACTAACTCAGAAACTCACTCACTCACGGACTCAGGACTCGCTCACTCACTCACTCACTCTCTCACTCACTAATTCACTGATTCACTAATTCATTCATTTACTCAATCACTCTTTTGTATCTTCCTCCTCCTCCTCCTTCTCCTTCTGTCCTCCGTTCTCGCTCATTGAACATTAATCCTAATCCCGCCCCCATCCACTCCACCTCCTCCTCCTCCTCCTCCTCCTCCTCCTGCTGCGCCTCTGACTGATTGTTCCTCCTCCTCCTCCTCCTCCTCCTCCTCCTCCTGCTCCTCCTGCTCCTCCTCCTCCTTCTCCCGCTCCTCCACGTACTGCTGCTGCTCGGCAGCTGCTGCTGCTGCTGCCCTCCACCTCCTCCTCCTCCTTCTCCTCCTCCTCCTCTCCACCTCCTCCTCCTCCTCCTCCTCCTCCTCCTCGGACTCCCCTCTTCCACCCTAAAAGGTGGCTCGAAAGGCGTGCAGCCCTTGTGGGAGACAATCTGGGCGTCTCAACCCCCGCCCATCTCGATGGGGAAGCTGCGCTGGGCCGCAAGCCTCGGCCCGGTGTCCAAACCTCAGGCGCTGCCGAAGCGCAGGACGGCCGGCTTTTCCTCAGCTTGGCTGGGGCCGGGGAGGCACGATTTCGGGGCCTCGGGATCGTGAAGCAACCGCAGGGGATGAGAAACGTGCCCCCAGTATTACGGGCGAGGATCCTGGGGCTCCACGTCACGAGCAAGAGCATAACGTCGGGTGTCGTGTCTAGGCACGCCTCCGTCTATGCCCGCATCCCTGCCCGCCCCTCCCTTCATTCCCTTCCTCTTCCCCCCCCCGCTTGCCCCCACGCCTCTCCACCCCCTCCAGCCTCGGGCTTCAACCCCCACCCGATGACCTAGATGCCGTCGGCCCTCGTCCTTGTGATCCGCTCGTCTGACTTCCCTCGGTACCCCTCAGCCACTTGCCTCTATCCCTTCTCTTTCCAACCTATCCGTCCCAGGATAAACAGGAGCAGGTGAAGGTGGGGGAAGGAGGTGGGAGCACGATCCCTGCCTCCCTCGATACCATCCTTAACTCCTCCCCATCCCCTCTGCGACCTAGACTCTGCGGCGGCTTCCCCCCCTCTTGGCTTTCCCCCATCTTCGGCTGCTCATCGACGTCCCCTCGTCAGTTCCTGCTCCCACTCGCCCACTGATATGGCGTTAGCGATTCCAGGTCCTCGCCTGCATCTCCTTGAGCTCTGTGGCCACCTCTTCCCAGATAGGTGCAAACTCCACGCAGGTTCCGCACTTGGGGGAGAAGAACTTGACCAACCAGTCTCCAGTGGTGGCACCCGTGGACGCCTGCGCGATGGAGGGTCGAGAGCGTAGGCGGACGCAGGCTGGGGGGAGACTTGCACAAACTCCGCCCAAACGCTTCTGGAAAAGCGTTGCTGGGTGACGTCACGTGGGGTCGGGCGCCCCGTAGCACTGCATGCCACTCTGCCCGCGCCCAACTCCACCATGGTGGGCTTGTGTTTTCCACCACCACCACCACCATCATAAGTAGGAGGGAGAGGGGGTCCTCCTCCCCCTCTTCGTCGTCCTCCTCCTCCTCCTCCTCCTCCTCCTCCACCTCATTCCACCCTCCAACTTATGGTGGTGGCGGCGGCGGAAAACAGGCCCGCGACACCACCTCACACTGGCGTTTTTCAAAGCCCGTGCCTGTGTGTCGTGCTCGAAATTGGTCACGTCCAGCTTGATGATCTCACAGCTCAGAGTGTGGGCAGACAGCAGCAGGAGCACTCCTCCGAGCGAGATCCTCATCCGCGCCCGTGAGGCAGGCAATCGACAACGAGTCCCCAACCAATAGAAGCTTGATCCAACAGTCACGCGGACGCGGACGCGATCAAGAACCCACGCAGGAGCAATGCGACAGGAGCCCCGCTACTGAGCGAGGTCATGCAAAGTGAACTGCTCACGCATTCGATAAAAAACAGGCAAACGCAAGAGACGGTGTCTCCACTCTCATCGTGGCTGCCCACATGCGATTGCAATTGCCCTGGCCTGATCAAGACACAGACACTGAAATAGTGAAACGACATATCAGGAGAAGGGCAAGGGAAAGGGAAACGACAACGGCAAGGGGAAGGAGAAGGAGATACGTGGGAAGGGGAAGAATAGGAGTGGTGGAGGTAAGGGAAGGGGAAAGGGAGAGGGCAACAAAGGCGGGCAGGAGGAGAGAGGGAAGGGAGAGGCGGGAGCGGGAAGCAAAACCGGCGGCAGCGGCGGTAAGAAGTCGGCAGACGATGCAGACGAAGCGAGGCGTGGCATTCCCCGGTCGGACGAGTCCTACACGACTATCCCAGCTCGCAAGTGGCTGGAGCATGGAGAGAAGAAGCAGTCGCTGGGCAAGGGCGTGGCCTGAGCAAGGCTCAAAGCCCGATGACCGGTCGCCCCTCCTTGGGGCGACGAAATTTGTACATGTCCACTGCTCCTTGGTCAGGCGCATCCCGCGCCCGGGAGCTGTGCATACGCCCTCCTGGCCAAGCGAGGAGGGCGTGGCGCACGCTCCGCTGCTAGGTTCAGGGTGGGCCTGGCCAGGGAGCAGTGGATACGTGCAGATCTCGCCGCCCTCCTCCCCCCCCCCGGCCGCAGCACACTCCCGAGAGCCCTTGACGAGGAGCTGCCGGGGCCCCCCCCGCGCAGCTCCGGCACGGAGCTCTGGTGCGGGTGCCTCGGGCCCGCTCCCCCGCTCGGGCAGGGAGACGACCACAGGATTGACTTGCCCCAGGAGTGACTTTCTCGTCGAGTGCACGAGAAGCTCGTGGATTTGTTCCATCGCTTCGTAGATTCGGCGGACAGATCCATTTTGGGGTGCATCAATTTTGTAGTCGATCCCCTAGTCGACCCATGGAGAGACATCCTTCGCTGAGGCTTGTGCTTGCTTTTTTTACCCAGCCTGCGGGGGAAGTCTGAGCCTGGAGGCGGCCATGGAGTCTGAGCTGGATAAGCCTGGCGAAAATTTGCTAATTCGCTTAAATTCTATCCCCAGGCCCCTCCCAGAGTCGAAACCGGCGAGTTTGTCGAGCCGCGTCCAGTCGTGGCGACGAGGAGGCCCTCATCACCCCCGTCTGCTGACAGAAACCAGTGCTGGCCCACCTCAGCCCCCCAGCCGGCTCCAAGCCTGAGCCTTCCTTGCACGAATTACTCTCACGCGTCGCCTCTGCAGCTCTCCGCGCGCGTCAGCGTGGACTCGCAGCGCCACAGCTGCGCGGGCACGCGCGCCGCCTGCGGCGCGGCAGGCACGGCGCGCACCTGGGGAACCAACACATACTGCTACCGCCGCTCCTCGGACCTCTCCCGGGGCGCGCTCTGACCAGACTCTCGAAGAGAATCCAGCCGCAGTGACGAGGGCCTCACAGGAGGGCCAAAACGACCAAGCCGAGGCAAGAGGAGCAGTATTGGTTCTCGAGGCCTCCTAGATGAGGTCCGAGTAGATGGGGTCGGAGAATCGCGCTGCATCGCCGATGCATCGGCGACGACGCCGGCGTGGAGAAAATCAGGCTCCACATCGAGCCGCATCGCCGACGCATCGGCGATGCGGCGCAATCCACCGACTCCATCTACTAGGACCCCATCCGAGAGGCCTAGATCTCCAGCTGCGGCGAATCTGGCCCCATCTCGACGCGAATCCGGCCGCGGCGACGAGGGCCTCCCAGGATGAGGCCCAGAGAAAGGCAGCGGTATGTGGGTACCTCTTCTCCTCCCTAGAGGCCTCCTAGATGAGGTCCGAGTAGATGGGGTCGGAGGATCGCGCCGCATCGCCGATGCATCGGCGATGCACCGGCAGCGTCGGCGATGCACCGGCGACGTCGGCGTGGAGAAAATCGGTCTCCTCATCGCGCCGCATCGCCGACGCATCGGCGATGCGGCGCAATCCACCGACTCCATCTACTAGGACCGCATCTGGGAGGCCTAGATCTCCAGCTGCGGCGATTCTGGCCCCATCTCGACGCGAATCCGGCCGCGGCGACGAGGGCCTCTCAGGATGAGGCCCAGAGAAGGACATCGGGAGTGACCAAGAAGGGGGCGTCAAACAGGGGGGGCGCAAATCATGGCCAGCGGCGCGTGCGCGGCCCAGAATGAACAAGCGCCGTGAAGTCTGGGGAGATCTCATGGCCCCCGCCATGACATATCCATCCCCCCTCTTGGCCGCCCCCGAAGGCAGCGGTATGTCGGTACCTCCCCAGACTCCCGACGTCGTGATTTGTTTCACAAAGACGACCCCGCAGAGGTCTTGACCCCTTCCCTTGGACTGGTTTCTCGTCCTGAGTCGTTTTGTTGACGGTCCCGAGGCCCAGTGAGCACCCCTGGAGACCGAAAATGGCGAAAAACCTCCCGTCGAGATTATTTTTGCAATGAGGAGGGGTCTGGGTCGTCTCATCCCCTGGGCACCACCGCCGCCCCAGCGGGCGCCTGGAACGACCCGCCGCGGTGCACGCGGCACACCGCCGGCAGGGCCGCCGGCGCCGCGTCCGCGCCCGCCGCGGTGCTCGCGCTGCAGCCCGCGGGGGCGGCCTCCGCGCTGGCGCCGCCGGGCGCCAGCAGTACGCCGCCGCCGCCTGCGCCAGCCCTGCTGGAGCACCGTGTCTAAAGGATCCCTGCTCCTGCTCCTGCTCCTGCTCCTGCTCCTGCTCCTGCTCCTGCTCCTGCTCCTCCTCCTCCTCCTCCTCCTCCTCCTCCTCCTGCTCCTGCCTCAAGCAACTTGGGCTCAGACCATTTTGGCAAGAGCCCGCCTTCTGTGCCTGCGCGCGGTGCTTGGGGCACTTCACCCACGCTCTCCAGGAGAGCCGCTGGTGACGACTAAAACAGAAGGTGCTCACATATGATGTCTCGTCCTTGATGTCAGGCTCGGTAAATTTGTTTTTGGCGCCCATGCTGTTCACGGGAGCGACGCACTTGAGGGGCTCAGATCGGGTCGCGTCTACTTTCCGTCTGGCCGTTCTCCCGTTCTTCCTTGTCCCGCACGTGTTTTTCAAGCTCCCACAGGCTGGGCGGGCACTGGTTTCGTCATTTACATTTCAGCCATCCCTCAGAGCCGCACGGAGGGGGTATTCTCTTTCGCTGGCCTCG